AAACACAGACATATAGATTCCAAGAACACAGGATGAGATGTTACCATCCTTTGTGCAAGCACTTCCAAGAGTTCATGAACAGTGAGCCTGGTGAAATTTGGGGAGCGCATCGTCAGTAGTGTACCTTTGGTTCCTAGAGTGTTTCGGCCTTTCACACTATACACCCTCCCCAAAGGCGGCCAGCGACAGGGTGATCAATCCTACGCTTGCTTCCCATTTTCAATTAGTCATAGGAGTTGTCTTGTTGTTGATAGCCAACATCCCATGGGACTATGCATGGCAGGGGCGTCCTCATTGAGTCAAGCATTGTTGACCGCATACCTCCTGGCCCTCTCACTTCGGGGCCCAGCTGGGGTCTTTCCTCTTCATCCAGAGCCACTGACTGCTGCCTTCTGCCGCCTCCGATACAGCTCTGATTGCCAAACACTGGCTCTGGCCCTTAATTCCCAGCTCTCTAAGTAGTCTGGTTGTAGATGTTGCCACAAAACCTCTGCAGCCCACCTCCACTGGTCGGACTTCTGTGTTCCAGCCATGATGCCGTGCTTCGGCAGCTAGATCGGCATAGCGCAGATGTTTTCGCTCATAAGCCTCATCTACTGAGTCCTACCAGGGTACTGTGAGCTCAATGATGAAGATCTTCTTGAGCGAACAGGACCAGAGCACCATGTCAGGTCTTAGGGTGGTGGTTGCGATCTCCGGAGGAAACAAGTTGCCGGCCAATGTCAGCTAGCATTTTCCAGTCGTAGGCCAAGCGCAGCTGGTCTCGCTCTGATGGTGAGAAGATGGGTACAAATTTAGCGATCATTGGAAGGACTTTATTAACCAGGTAAAGCCTTAACTGGTTGTTGATGTTTCCATCCTACCTGCCATTGTCAGTAGTTATTTTCGACTCTGAGTTACATTACCAAGTTAAATGTCTTTACATTAACGGGCAAAATGTCTCACTAACAATGCCAACGGTGCCCCCTTTCCCTCGATGTGGCAGTGGCTCTCGTATTTTAGCAGACGACAACTGGCTGTGATGTTGTTGTGTGTGTGTCTCTCTCTGTCTATTTTGTGTGTCCCTCGATTTGTGTGTGTCTCTCTCTTTCTGTCTCCGTCTCCGTGTATGTCTCTCTCTGTGTGTGGGTGTGTCTTTCCGTGTGTCTCTCTCTCTCGGTGTGTCCCTCTGTGTGTGTCTCTGCGTCTGTCTCTGTGTGTCTCTCTAGGTGTCTCTCTCTCTGTGTCTCTTTGTGTGTGTGTCTCTCTGTCTTTGTGTTTTTTATCTATATGTATCTCTGTGGTTGTCTCTCTGTGTGTGTATCTTTCTGTGTGTGGGTGTGCCTCTCGGCTTGTGTCTCTCTTCTTCCCTCGAGGTGGGGCTGTCCCTCGTTTATTTCCCTCGTTTTCTAACGAGCTGGATGTCGCACTAAAACAGCCCCCGTTGCGTTGGTTCGTTTACATTGACATGCTAATCTCTCACAATACAATGGCCACCTCCTCACCTCTGCGTCGTCGTCGTGCTTTAACCCCCCCCTCCCATCTCGGTTCCCATCTTTGGATTTCCCACTCGCTTAGGCACAGTCTCTAGCACCCGCCCTCTTGCCCGATGCTGCACCCCCACCCCCCTCGGCTCTGCAGTGAGGGAAACAAGTAAACCCGTAAAAACAAAGTTTTTCACTATAAATCCTTTATATGCGTGGCGGCTAGAGTCTTCTCGTCCTCTGGCTTGAGATGGCTGCCACCTATGGGTCAGATGATTGTCTGCCACCATTAAGCAATTGGTAATTAAATATTTAATTTGTTTTCCCTAAACAGTGCAGTCTATTCTTAGTCTTAAGCCTCACCTTACCATATTAATAAAAGTATGCGGCCCTTGGCCCACCACCTTCTCCAACCATTATATAAACGGAGTGGTAGCTTCTGCAATCTCTCATTTACTTGATACAGCTGTCGTGGCTGTGACGGTACCACCTGAAGACGGAAGCTTGTGTTGCCTCCGAAACGTCGTGATTTTTATTTTATTTTACTTTTTAAAGTTTTTTACCTACGTGACTTTACCGAAAAAACCTAAGAATATATAAGGACTTGTTTCTGCTGCCAGTTTCTCTCTCCCACCTGAAGACAATTTCTTGTGGCGATCGAAACGTCGTGATCTATTATTGTTTTCTACCTACGTGACTTTACCGAAAGAACCAAAGAAGTATGAATTCCTTTAGTGACAAAAGCTTCAAATCAAGATTATTAATAATTATTAGCGGACGACGTCACTCCACATGGAACTCTCCCCTCATCAATAATCATGAGCTGATGACGTCACTCATGTGGACCCCGCCCCCCACCCCCGCATTAATAATCATGAGCAGTAATACAAATTAAGTTAATAAAACATAATTAAAATAAAATAAACTGCCAGTACGTTCACCGAGGTTAAGAACCATTCTACAGTCTACATTAGACTGCCAGCACAGTCACCACACTTAATAACCAGGCTACAGTCTACATTATAGACTGCCAGTTCACTCACTCAGATTAAGAACCAGGAGGCTACAGTCTACATTAGTGGTGCGGGTGGGGTGTGTGTATGACTCCTCGAGGCGCCTCACCTGGCTAACGCTGCCAATAAAAGCAAGAGAGAGAGAGCGATAGACGCAGGGAGGGGGTTATGAGGAGGCAGCGGCGGTGGTGACGGCTCTGGATGTTGGCCAGGTGAGAGACGGGCGAGGCGGCATCCGGGGTAAGATACTTTCACCGCGGGTGCGTGGCACCACAGGGTGACCACCCCCGTGAGAGCGCAAGAGACCTCTCTGGCTCTCGCGCAACGTGTAAACAACGCACGCATATGCACTGCACATCAACATTTGCGCATCAACACGTACACATGATCATGCACATGTGTTTTCGCGTGTAAACAACGCACGCGAACACAATGCACATCAACACCAGTGCATTAACACCTCCATATGCGTGTTGCATATGCACGTGAACGCATGCGCGCGAAAATAAACACAAACGTATACACATAAATACATTAACACGCTCACACACACGTGCACATGAACACATCAACACGATCACATATCACACCAATGCACACATGTGAACACACACAGATGTGTATGTTAACACACACAATAGAAGGCGACGCGTGAACACTGTGGCGAACTTGTGGGTCATACGTTTAGTTTTGCCCACTTGGCAACCAGCTAATTATTTGGTTAGGCTCTATGTCTTCGAGTTCATTCCTGCCTTTTTATCTTCCAGAGTTTTTGAGAAGTAGTGTGGTGCCATAGCCTCGGAGCAACTCCGCAAGTGCCGCGACTCCCCCCTGGCCCCCACCCTGAGCACACACACACACGCAGCGCACACACGTAGTGTCCCAGCGCGGGATTGCCTGGCACAACGGGTTTTAATCTAAAGGGTCCTTAGAGGGAAAGTCCCACGGTTTCCTGATGCCAGGAGATTTGCCGACCCTCACAGGTCACATTGCGGTGCCCCTGAATTGGCTTAAAATAGTTTTGGCGCACAAAGGTACACCGGGCCAGCAGCAATGAGTCATACACGACATCGGTGAGGGGGCTGGGGTGTAATATTAATACTCTTAGTTAATTATTTCGGTAAAGTCACGTAGGTAAAAAAAATGAAATTAAAATTAATAAAAATAAAATAAAAAATAAAAATCACGACGTTTCGGAGGCAACACAAGTCTCCGTCATCAGGTGGGACCGTCACAGCCAGATTTGCTGCATCAAGTGAATCTGGCTGTGTTGCCTCCGAAACGTCGTGATTTTTTTTATTTTACCTAAGTGACTTTACTGAAAGAACTAAGAGTATGAATCCTTGCAGTCACGAAAGCTTCAAATTTAGAAGTGTAATATAAAGTTAACAGAGCAGACAAAGAGGTCAGGGGATCCCAGCTGCACAGACCGAATGTACACTGTCAGGGTGTTTATTCACCAGCCGGACGTGCTTCCAGATTAAACAGGTATAGCCCTGTGAGCCATGCGGCTCTTAAGTCGCGTGCAACCGCAACAAACAAAATATGAACACAGAACATCCCAAAGCGACGACGCGCCACAGGAACATCCTGGAATGAACCAGCAAATAAACAAAAAAAAACGTATTAAAACGCTGTGTGCAAAAATCACAATGTGGTGCAAGCCAACAAGAACAACCATAAGACAATTTAGATTAACAATATGTTTTCGAATCATCAAAATAAAGCTATAAAAACAATGTAACAACAGTAATCATAGGAACTGTGATTTAAATTTAACAATAAACGATATACATAACACGTACGACCAAACCTGCAGCCATAGCTGGCAGCACGACACTCCCAGTGTATGATGTGTGAGTGAGTCAACGGCAGCGTGAGTGAGTGTATGATGTGCGAGTCCCGCGGTCCCACCGGCCCCCTCACAAACGGCCCCACGAGCCGCTGCTGTGAGCGCAGCCCGGGAGCGCGCGCCTCAAGTGGTCATCTTGCTCCAATAGGTAGCAAAAGAAACTGTC